TATATGTATACATGTATGCTCTTGTTATCCGTCGATTCAACCACCCATCTTATTCATCTTTAAGACTTCTTTATACCTGTCTACTATATATCTTTCTATTGAACTTCTATCGCCTTAGTATCTATAGACCTGCCTGGTTTTCTGTCCATCTTCATATCTGCTATCTATCATCTATCTTATATCAATATCAGATATATCCTAAAGCTCATTATAATACAAGCCCTCTATTATATGTCTTTTTTGGACACCTTTGCGAGTCGAAATTCTGGAACTGGAAGTTTGTTTCAGTTAGCGAACGATCACTGTATGTGGTATTCCGTGCTGTTGTTGACTCAATATGTATGTTTGTGTGTAACTGGATAGCAGTGTTTCCATTCTTGATACACTATTGTTGTTGCTGTTGGCATTACCATTTCCATTATTATCATAATGCGACTGTTGTTCGCTTTTGCCTTGCCCCCGACTCGTTTAGTTCCGATTTTGGTTGATGTTACGTATTCCAATTTTCTTGTTTTGCGGTTAAAGAGTTCACACACACACACACATCGCTGTGCACTTATATCTAAGGTGGTTTTGGTGGTTTTGCAAGCGAACCGCAGATGGTGGTGCCGAGATGCCAGCACGCTCCTGCAATGCCTACTTAGATGCGTGCGCTTCGTTTGTTGTTGCTGGAGCATACATATGTATTAAATTTAATCAATTTTGATTGATGTGTGCGTCGATGCAGCAACCACAGTGCCAACGAAATCGACAGCGACAACCTCAACCACACTTCGACAACAAACCCAAAAGAAAAGAAGCACAATTCTCTTTCAACTGCATTTGAGTTAGAGCCACGCCGGATCGCTGATGCGCTGGTAACAATATTTCGTAGAGTGTTATAGCTGCTTAACGATAGATGTCTATAATCTATTTTTCGATCTGTCATGCAATTAGAAAAGTATTGAACAAGGGATTTGAACCCTTACCGAGAGGAAGATTAGGGAAGTGTTTAAGGCAGAAGAAAAGTTTGAAGAGAACTCGCTTCTCTCTTCCCTCTCTCTCTCTCTCTCTCTCTTTCTCTCTCTCTCTTGCGTTCACATTTCGTCTTTTTCCTTACTTTCTTCGCATATTTTCCTCTTTATGCTTCCATCTCACTCCCTCTTTATCTCCATTTTACTCAGTCTCTTCCGATCTATCGACATTGCAGCAATAAAATCTTCTCTCGCTAGATCTCTCTATCTTTGTAGAAAATGAAAAGAGGGCAGAGACTCTCTAATATTTTTTCCTCTTGATCCAATGGAAGAAAATAATTAGACTTATCTCTAAAAAAATGTTTAAAATGTTCAATGAGTATCTAAGACATACCCATAAGGTCTTAGAATTTTCCAAAGCTACAATTTTTATGTATATCCTTCTCAGTTGCTCTTCACCTTGCATGTCTTGAAATATATAATTTGGTACAATCATTGCTTTCGAAGACCAAATTCTCAGCTGACACTTAAAAACTACATTTGAAAGGGTATTCAAAAGGCTGTTACAGTCACATCGACGCATATACACGTTGGTTTGTCGGTGGGTCGTTTGGTGGGTCAATTGTGGTTGGCTAAGGCGCGAACAGGTTCGCAAATGCGCAGAATTCAATCAAACCGAATACAGCAACAAGTAAAAAGCGACAGGCAACAAGAAACAAGAAACACGCAACAAGCGACAGGCGACAGGCGACAAGCGACAGCAACAAGCATTGATTCATAGATTTTTGGGTATTTCTGTGCAGTTGTTGTGCCCGGTTGAGACAGTGCGTCTGATGCGTAAGTGGACGTCGCGTGGACGCCCGTCACATGTCGTGTAAAATGTCCGTGTGCGCACTCGCACGCCCGCCCGCAGCAGCCGCCGTAAGCAGTGCGAATAACGTGAACGGACAAACAGTTGCAGCGACGTCGCCAGCGACGACGCCAACGACGCCGCCAACGCCGCCGCCGTCGCCGCAGGTGCGCATCTACGAGGACTTTGACAGGATGAGCGCCAAGGAGGTGTACTACAATGAGGCGGGCAAGAAGGTGACGGTCAAGTTGCTCCACTTCCCGGATGTTCTGCCCGAGGACATAGCCAAGCTGCGCTTCGATGACGAGGACGACCAGAATGCCGACGATGCCGACGTGGACGACGACGATGGCGTCGATAGCGATGCAGGTCGCTCTGCCAATAGCAGCCACAGCACCGGCGCCGGCATCGGCATCAGCAAGACGCCGCCCACCGCTGACAGCGACGATGGCGACAGCGAGACCGAGAAGCCTGACCTGGATGGCAGCGGCAGTGGCAATGCCACAGCCACCGGCGCCATCAAGAAGACCTTCCGGCGCAAGCTGTCCGGCAACAATATGCAGCCGCGCAAGTGCAGCCTGGCGTTTGCCCAGGCGCATGGCATCAAGCAGCGCGCCGAGAAGAAACTGTCGATGCCCACCATCAGCATCACAGCCAATCCGGGCGAGCATGTCAGCCTGGCGGGCGGGCGCAAGCTCTCGCAACAGCACTCGCTGCCCATGACGATGATGACGCCGCCACGTCGCAGTCATTCGCCGCTGGGCCAGAGTCTCTGCCCCGGCTACATACAGTACTCCAAGTCGCTGCTGGAGGTGCCCATGCCAAGGGATTATGGCTACGCCAGCAGCGACGATCTGAGCTCTGAGTGGGACTCGGATGTATCCACATCGGCGGCCTCGTCCGCAACTGCATCGGGCTCTGGCTCGGGCGCTACGGGTGCAACCTCAGCGAGCGGCACGAAGAAGGTAAGAGGACGGTTTGCCGCTCAGCGCACGTCCGGCATTATCCGGTGCATTCATGACACAGGCTTCGCCTTTGAAGTATTTATCCAGTGTTATCCGCCAACTATCATCTGCCATCTATTTGTCATCAAGCATTCTCCAATTTAAAATATTTGCATCTGCTGCGTAGCTGAGCATATCGATCGATGTCATTGGCAACGCTTGCGAAATGTATCCGGCGCAATTGGATAATAAACAGCACTGATTTCATGCATAAACACCTTAATTAAGTGCTGATTTGATAAATACCAATCGTTTATCTATTCGCCATTTAAGCATTGACGTCATTAGCCACACGTCAAGATCTATCCGCATCCGCCGCTATCCGGTGTTCTCCGGCGCATATCCAATACTAATACTCTAATTTTGCGCTCACTTTAATGACATTGACCCTAGATTTATTTGTATCCGCTGCAATTCGCCACTAGTGCTATCTTAGTGTTATCCGATTCAATCAAATATATCCGTGATGCGAAATATGCTGACCCAATGATACTCTTATCGGCATTGAGACATATTGAGACATATCCCCTCTTATCCGCAGCTTATCCCGCACTTACTAGACAATTACAGAGTAGTTACCTAAGTACGTAAGCGTTATTGTAGATCTCACAACTGTTACTCATTTCGAGAAATATCCGGCGTCAATCGCGACTTATCCGGCCGGCACTTACCACTTAAGTACTAGTTACGTAAGCATCGACGTCATTATAGATCTTATAACTGGCCCCGTTTCATGCCATAAGCTTTTATCGCCTTGTATTCTAAATGATGCCCGAGTGGAGAGGCGGGTCCACTGGAAGTGCTAACAATTCACGTTTTTGCTAAAACGTGTTATTGGATGAACTATTACAGCAGTCACTCGATGACGCAACGGTCCAAATGCCTTTCGTTTTAATGTAAATTCTGGTTATGCTATTTCATTTGTTTGTTTCTTGTCTTTTCACAGAGCTCTGGCTGGCGGAAAATACGAAACATCGTGCAATGGACGCCCTTCTTTCAGACGTACAAGAAGCAGCGCTATCCATGGGTACAGCTGGCGGGCCATCAGGGCAACTTCAAGGCCGGTCCCGAGCCGGGCACCGTTCTCAAGAAGCTCTGCCCCAAGGAGGAGGAATGCTTCCAGGTGCTCATGCAGGATGTCCTGCGCCCATATGTGCCCGTCTACAAGGGTCAGGTGACCAGCGAGGATGGCGAACGTAAGTCACATAGTTCCTTGAACACATACATATATTAATGATTGACTGACTGATGCTGACTAAATCTAAGAAATTTATTGACTGATTCTGAAGTCGAAGAGTCTAATTGACATATCGAATGATATGATATGATTGACTGGCTGACTAATTTATGAATTCATTGATGACTGATGAAAATTTACTATTGACTGATCAAATCAGTGTCTTGATTGACCGCATACGCTAACTAAATGAATGGGTTAGTTGATAATAACTGCGAATGGATTCACTCCCTTTTTTAATTGATTGGAAGCTGACTAAATGATTGATGGCTGATAGACTGAAGCACTGAAGATTGACAGACTAACTGATTGACAGTATATGATTGCCTATAATAATCGATGGCTAACCAAATGACTTACGGCTGATCGATTGCCTGATCACACACTGATGGTGATTGACTGACTGATATGGCTCTGATTGATAAATACCTTCAATGATTGAATATGCTGAATAATCAATACGTAGATTGATTACCGGCTGATTTAACTGATGGATGACTGGCACCCCGACAGCAGACTAATTGATTGACTTAGTGATATGGCTCCAATCCATCGAGTCGATGACTGTATATGCATAATTATTAATGGATCATTTGACTGATTTTCTCTCTAAGTGATTAACTCAGGTGTTAATGCTTGACAGGTCTACTAGTCGAATAAAATGCTTTAGAGCTGATTGATTCAGACACTCACACAGATCGATTGACTTATTAAGTGACTAAATATTAAAATTTTATACTTTTTCAGCTGTGTAACTACATATATGAGTGACTATTCGACTAATTGACCAATCGACTAATTGACTGATTGCGTCTTACGAGTTAGCTATATGAAAGTTTCGTTTACTTTCAGTCTATCTGCAGCTGCAAGATCTGCTCAGTGACTATGTGCAGCCGTGCGTCATGGATTGCAAAGTGGGTGTGCGCACCTATCTGGAGGAGGAGCTGTCCAAGGCCAAGGAGAAGCCCAAGCTGCGCAAGGACATGTACGACAAGATGATACAAATAGATGCCCAGGCGCCCAATGCCGAGGAGCACGCGGCCAAGGCGGTGACCAAGCCACGCTACATGGTCTGGCGCGAGACCATCTCGAGCACTGCCACGTTGGGCTTCCGCATTGAGGTGAGCATTGCTGTGACCATTCTCACCTCAGCTGCAATTTACTAAGCACCCATTTGACTTGCAGGGCATCAAGAAGAGCGATGGCACCAGTTCCAAAGATTTCAAGACGACCAAGTCACGCGAACAAATCAAACTGGCCTTCAGCGAGTTCCTCAGCGGCCATCCACATATTCTGGTGCGTTTTAGCTTATGGCTTTACTTAGATCCATAACCTCATAGAGGGTATACAAATTGTTTAATTATCTATCGACCCCACGATATTGGCTGTCTCATTGATGAAACACTCCTTACCATAGATTCATATTTTCAGTGTCTTTAGTCAGAACTTATTCGAAATAGAAAAATTGTCATAGAAATGTGCTTGATATTTGTGTGTAAATTTATGGAGCAAATAGCTCTCTATTTGAAGTAGGAAGGCGTGACACAGCTCATCAAGTTTATATGCATCTCAATTAGCGCAATAAGCCAGGTATATCGACACACGAGTATATCTGTTCATACATCAAATCTTGTAATCTACAAGAGCCAACGACTTGAAATTTAGAATGTACATATGTTCCGCAGCATTGATCATTGCTTTAACTCATCCTATATTTTTTGTATCGATAATTATCGATCACTAGATTCATTATTTCAATGCAAGAGATTTCGAATTTACTGCGTAAATTCCGTAAATTCTTTCAAAGAAATATTTCAAATTGTAGAGACTTGTGATATGAAAAATACACACATCTTAATGTCATTATTACGTACTCATGTTTTCCTGTAAATCCCCATCTTTGACCCATCATAAATCTTATGTATCTGATTTGAATATCAGTTCATCGCAGAGGCTTGGGTGTATCCTAGACGAATACTCATTTCTAGAGCACTCTTATTGTAATAATATTTTACTCACGGTTAGATAACTGTATTTTCAAAAATGTATGATCAAATTTTGCTGCAATCATAAATAATCCTAGTTTAAGTTGAAATTGTCTATGAGCCCTAATTGAATGTTCTTCCATTACAGCCACGATATATACAACGCTTACGGGCCATACGGGCCACCTTGGCCGTCTCAGAGTTTTTCCAGACTCACGAGGTCATTGGCAGCTCGCTGCTGTTCGTGCACGATCAGACGCACGCCAGCGTTTGGCTTATTGACTTTGCCAAGACGGTGGCGCTGCCGCCTCATATGAGGATCGACCATTATTCGGCCTGGAAGGTGGGCAATCATGAGGATGGCTATTTGATTGGCATCAACAATCTCATCGATATATTCGTCGAGCTGCAGGCGGCCAATGAAATGGAGTCTGCAGCGGACGCCGCTTCGGGCTCTGGTTCCGGCTCCGGCTCCGGCTCTGGTTCCGGTTCAGCGTCGGGTTCCGGTTCGGTTTCACCAGCGCCCGCCTGCAGCGGTCAGGAGGAGGAGCCCAGCAAAATATAAAGGGCACAGCAAGAAAACAATCTAACATAATATATATACACTCATATATATATTTATATAGAACTATTTAGCTTACAATTACACTGAAGCGTTCCATGGGGCTGCGCCCCGCCAAGGACATTTCCTAGCACATTCCACAGAAATGTGTTAAAACAAAACAAAATCAAATATCAAAAAATATCAATTAACCATAATCCAAACTTAGTTTTATGCATATATGTATATGTATGTACCTTTTTTTTTGTTTTTTTTTTTCTCTCTCTTTAACCCGTTAAGTTTAAAATCAAAGACTGAACAACAATATGCGTATACCCAATATATACA